GAGACACAAGTGGACAATTGTAGACCAATGTTCATAGCTGTGTTATTCACCTTTGCAAGAACATGGAACAGCCCAAATGTCCAACCACAACTGAGTGGATTGATAAATTGGGGTACATTCCCACAATGGAATACTATGCAGCACTCAGGAGCAATGATTTAAAAAAATACTAAATAACTTGGGAGAGACTGGAGAGTATCATGTTGAGTGAACTAACTCAGTCTCATAAGGACAAATATTGCATAAGATCATTATTGTAAAAATAGAAGTATAACTAATGAAATAAGTATGGTGAAACCAAGGGGAGGAAAGGGTGGGAGCGAAGGGGCGAAAATGGATAGGAGTGAAACCATAGGATCTTCTCTTTGTTTGGGCTTCTTGAAGCTCTAGCGCAATTTTAGAATCTCTTCTGGCATTCACTTGGGGATTCTCCTTTGTCTTTGTAATGGCCTTTTGCTCTTTTCATGGATGATACTCTTTTTTTTTTTTTTTGGATGATACTCTTAATGACAATCTGCAACTCAATTTAGACTTTGATCATTGGTATTCAATAAATTCAGGTGGCATAGACTCAAGATCTCATATTTATGCTTGTGGGCTTTTCATTTTTGTTAGCTTCAACGTTTTGAACGTGCACATGACTAATCGATGATCTGTTCCACAGTCAACACACGGTTTATACTTATCATTAGGTCATCGTAATCATTATGCAGGTAATACCCCCAAACAATACATGTATTCCCTACCCACTGTGTATGGGCCTGATAAGATGTTCAAATGTAATGTGAGTTCACTTACTTGCTCTCTTCTTTCATGTAAAAATCCTTTTTGTTAACCATAGTTTTCTTTCCTTTTGTCTTTAGCTAATCCTTAATGCTATTCTTACCATTTTCCACAATTAATCAAATCACCTTTCCTCTCTTCTCGAAGAAACTTTCTCTAAGTCAAAACTGTCTTTTTCAACTTTCTTAGAAATTCGTATCTAGGTATGTTCTTTCTTATTCTCCACCAAATATTTTTGAAGTTATCTTCTCTTACTACCTCCATCTTCTCACAACCTTCCTCCCCCATCATACCATGCCATTTTATACTAGCTCCACACTGAGCAGAAATTGTCCTCTTAAAAGTCACAAATTAGTTCCATGCTAGGCTTTCCCAACTGGAACACTATCACAAAATTAAATCCTACAGACAGTATGTTCAATTATTATTTTCCCAATGCTCTGAAAAATATTGTACATATCTACTGCTAATCATGACATAAAGATGATAATTAATTCATTTTCTAGAGTATCAAGCTTGGAGGAAGACTCATCAACAACCTATGTTATGCAGATGACACAACCTTGCTTGCTGAAACTGAAGAGGACATGAGGTGTTTCCTGCAGAAAGTCAAGAATTATAGTTTTCAATATGAATTGAAGCTCACCATCAAGAAGACAAAGATTCTCACCACTGGGCCAATTGGCAGTTTTATGACAGAGAATAGATTGAGATTGAGATTGTTAACAGCTTCTTAGTTCAGCAATTACCACTCTTGACAAGAGCAGTCAGAAAATTAAAAGACAAATTGCATTGGGAAAGGCTGCTGTCAGAGATCTCTCTGGAGTACTGACAAGCAATGACATCAGTCTGGAGACTAAGGTGTACCCAATCCAAGGCATGCTTTTTGCAATTGCTTGCTATGCATCAGAGAGCTGGACAATAACTGAGAATTGTTGTCAAACTGAGGAAGACTGAGACGGGGCCACACAGGAAAGGAGGTCGGGCCTTTGTGAAGGCAGGGGGCTAACAGCTGGGAGAACTGCAGCCCTATGCTACACCTTTCTGGGTTTTTATTGAGAATCATTAGGAAGGTAAACAAAGGAAAATCACAAGGGAGTAGTAAATAAAAACAAAGGATCATGGGGAAATATTTTGTAAATAAGGCTGAGTTCTTCTCTATTGTTAACCTTATGCTTATCTCAAGAGGTAGGGATTCAGTAAATACAAATGAAGAATTCTGTAGACTTTTAAGGATTTCCTTAATGCCTACCCCTGTAAACATTTAAGGATTGCCTTAGTGCTACTGTGTGAATTCCAAATTGTATCAGCATCTCTCATATCCAGACATATCATTTGTTTTATTATTAATATTAAATTTGATATATGGCTTCCCACATTCCCGCCTCCTTTTATTTTGTGGTCTTCAAGGCGAGTATGATTTCCATTCTTTAGGATTCATTCTTGCTTGGTTTTTTTGTTCTCTTCATCCTTTATATATAATCAAACAAATATAACCGATTAAGCAAAATAAGTTCACAAAAATACTTCCAAAATTCTCCGTATGATTAGAAGGATTCAGGTTAGATATTCCTTGAGAGTCTGTTTTTATTGTCATATAGACACATTACTTGAAGGTCGGTTTCTATTTTTATATTGCCACAGTCCTTGTCAAAACCAGTTCTCATTGATCTCCTTTGTCAGCATGTCCTTTGCCATTCCCTGTCACTCTCCCCTGAGAGAGATTTCACAGCGGTTCACTAGGAAAGGGGAGCGTTGCATTCTTTTAGTTACTTCCTACTGGAAAAGGGCATTGTAGGTCCCAGGTTAAAGATCTTCTCTCACTACTCTAAAGGGCCCCTTTGGCAATAGGAAACATGTAGACTATTGTGGTGATTGATTTTGGAATTTAGATGTACTGTTATTGATTGTGCTTAGGGATACAGGTTCATATCCTTGGAGATGCATCATTTTAACATGGGACTGTTGCAGCCTAGAAGACTCAAATTTAACTAACAAGTTAAAAGTACATGGGCCAAAAATTAAAAGCAGTAATACCCCAACAAGGGGTTTTAACCATGGCAGAAACCAAGTTACAGAGGGAAAATACTTCTTAGAATAAAAGATTTATAATTAGGAATGCTTAGCATGGGAGCTCAAAAGAACTGCTTACAAGGTTTTCCATCAATTCTAACAACTTAGGGATAGCGGGAAGAGAGTGTACCTGAGAAGGCTTGTAGGACCAAATAAGAGACTCCTGTGTCCAGGAAAACTAATAGACTTACCAGGAACATCAATGCTCACCCATGGCTCTTCTGGGAGTACTTGAATTATTGAAGCATCCTCCTTTGTTGCTAACTGGGAGACAGGGCCTCATCTGTCCTCTGTGGATTTGGCTATGAGGACCTGATATGAGCAGCCCTTGGCCAAGTGTCCTTTAGATCCACACTTAAAGCAAGTTAGTGGAAGCTTCCTCTCTACCCCCTTGCCTACCTGTGGTTCTTGCTTATGACACTCTATACTAATGTGGCCCAGCTTTCCACAATGGAAGCAATTCTGACTTCCTTTATTACCTTTGGGTGGCATTCACCATTTATTAGTAAGACTTCCTTTTCCTGACCAGGACCTAAAATTGGCAGCAAAAGCTGCCCCAATGTTGCTATTCCCTAGTCTTTTCTCTCTCCCTCTAGATCCCAGTTGTTAAAAGATGGAAAAATTTAAACAAATATATAAAAAATAATTTTGAACAACACAGTCTTTTAAGTTTAAGGCTAGTAATATTATCAATATGATTGTATAAATAATTTCCAATCCAAAGAGATACATGTGCCAGTGCAGTTCCTCCTCCATACCATGATATAGTGTTATTAGCATGAGCAGTTATATATCCATTGCCTTCCTTACACTAACTTAAATTTTTGGTGTTTTTATGCTAACAAGCAGAACCAACAAGGCTCCAATCAATAAGAAATATTAATTAAAACTCATCTTTGCTCTTCTCAACATTGTTTCCAACGTATCCATTCTCCAATTAAAGAAGCAACTGACAGAATAAAAAAAAAAAAGTTGTCACTGGTGTCTCCATGAAAACTATACCCTTGAAACGTCTACTAGAGAGATACGTTATTACCCAAAACTTTATAAAGCCAATGAGTTACTTTTAACAAGGGAGTATTAGAAATATATTCCCAATAGCTGGTATTATTTGCCATTCCTACCTGACTTAAAACAGCAGTCATAGCTAAAACCAAATGGTCAGCAAATATTGGTTTCCCTGTTTTCTGTAATACCTTTTTGCCCCTTCTATTATTAATTTCTTTATCTGGCCCCATGTAGATATCTCAGCTTTTAAAATCTCTAATAATGGTTCCCAAGTTTGACAATGCAGTTCTCCCAACAACAGAGAATAATAGAAGACTTGATGCCTTTGAATTGTGGTTCTGGAGAAGAGTATTGAACATACCATGGACTGCCAGGAGAACAAAGCGTTCTGTCCTGGAGAGGGTGAAACCAGGCTGCTCCTTGGAGGCAAGGATTGTGAAGCTCCATCTCATATACTTTGGGCATGTGGACAGGAGGGACAAGTCCTTTGAGAAAGACAGCATGCTTGGAAGGGTGGAGGGACAGCACAGGAGAGGAAGACTGAGGATGAGATGGATTGACTCAGTGACTAGTAAAATGGGATCTGTCAGAGACAATGAGATTGGCTCAAGCTAGGGCAGGATTGAAAGCTATTGTCCATAGGGTCATTATGAGTCACAGGAGACTCGACAGCACATACCAATAACAACAGAGCATAAGGGCCTATGACTACAAGATGCAGTGGAAATTACCACCACAGAATATTCATTTGCTCCCACAACAGTGCAAGAACTATATCTCATATTCTATATCCTTCATCATAGTCCTGCCACCCTGGTCAAACCTTAATAGACTTAATTAGTTACAGGTTCACATCCTATTGATAGTCTACCCTAATAACACAGATCCCATCAATTCTATTAACTTATGCTCACATAGATCAACGTTCAGAAGGTGAGGCCCCAATTATTCTTTTTCTAACCCCAAATTGACAAAAGAATTATAAACAAAAAATTCATAAAAATACAGACTATTCGGTGAAATGATACAATTAATATTTCTACTAAAAACTACACTAATTACTTTTCATACTCCATTTTTATTATAAGTTAAATTCATAGAAATAAAATCCCAAACTAAACAAATAAATAAATTACCTTTGTTGAAGGTGCACAATATGTAATTTTTCCTTTATTGGGATAATATAGGATACTTGCTCCTAAAGAATCCACAAAAACTCAGAGTGAACACAACTTTTATATAATATGCAAAGCAATTTTATTAATTAATCTCTCCAAATAATGCCTGAAATAGCTTTATCAACAAGATTAAAATTGCAAACTATATGTAATTTAAACTATAAAAAGAAAAGCTATAACATTTCTTTGTAAATATAACTGAAGAAGAACTAATGCTTTTGAATTGTGTCATTGGCAATGAGTACTAAATATCCCATGGACTGCCAAAAAAATACTAACAAATCTGTCTTGGAGAAAGCGTAGTCAGGGTATTCCTCAGAGGTAAAGATGGTTGAAACTTCATCTTACATACTTTAGGCATGTTTTGAGGAGATGCCAGTCCTTGGAAAAAGACACTCTGGGAAAGGTGGAGGGCCAGAGAGAAAGGGGAACACCTCAATGAGATGGATTGACACGGTAATTACAACCACGGGTTTGAGCACAGCAGAGACTGTGAGGATGGCTCAGGATAGGGCAAGATCCTTAAGTGTTGTTCACAGGATCACTATGAGCTGTGGGCAACTCAAAGCAACACCTAACAAACATAGACTTAATACTCAATTTAGATGTAACAGTCTTGGAATGTGCTGAAATGAGGTGAAAAATTAACACAAATACATATGAATGGTTATGTTGTTATTGTTTTTAGGTACCGTCGAGTCGAGTATGACGCACAGCAACCTCATAAACAACAGATATGAACCTTGTCCTACCCTGTGCCATCCTCACACTTCCTGGCACACTAGAGTATATTGACAGTCACTGTGTCAAGCCACTGAGTCAAGTGTCTTCTTCTCCTTTGTAGCCCTCTACCTTTCCAAGCATGATATCACTCTTCAAGGAAAAGCCTCTCCTAGCAATATTCCTGAAATTTGTAAGGTGAAGATTGATCATCTTTGCCTCCAAAGAGCACTCTAGTTGCACCCTCTCCAAGACATATTTGTGGGGTCAAACTTAGCAGCTCTAAGGTATGACATAAATAGACTAATATATGTGTGTGTGTGTGTAAAACAAAAAAGTAGAATAAGCATAGAATAAAATAGATCATTGGTACCTCCAAAAAATGAAACCACTAAAAAACAAAAATGTCTGTTTAAAGAGTAAGGTGCAGCTGATGCAAGTCATCATATTTTCAATTACTTACTATGCATCTAAAAGTTGTAAAACAAGGAAGACTGAAGAAAAACCATTGCCTTTAAATTGTGGTGCTGGAGAAGAGTAATGAATATCCCATAAACTCCCAAAAGATCAAAATTATCATTTTTTAAAGGAAATATAACTTAGAGACAAGGATAGTGAAACTTAGCATAGCAATATGGATTGACACATTGACTTTAACAACTGGATGAAGCTTAACAAAGATTGTGAAGATGGTACAGGACAAGGAAATGTTCAGATCTATTGTTTATTGGGTTATTATGAGTCACATGTTAAAGAAGAGTACTAAATATTCCAAGGACTGTCAAAACAACAAAGAGATATGTCTTGAAGAAAGTGCAGCCAGAGTGTTCCTTGGAGGCAAAAACGTTAAAACTTTATCCCATCTCTTTGTCAGAAGAGGCTATTCCTCAGAAAGGGACATCATGCTTGGAAAGGTAAAATGTCAGCCTGGGGAGGAAGACATTCAACAAGAAGGACTGCTATCGTGTCTGTGGCAATGAACTCAAATGTGTTGAAGATGATAAGCATGGCACAAAATAGGACAAAGTTCAAATCTGTTGTTCATAGGGTTGCTACGTATCATTGCTGTTGATGTGTACTGTAGAGTCAGAACCAACCCACAGCTGACCCTCCAGCGGGTTTTTTGTTGTTATGTGCAATCGAGTCGACTGCAACTCGTAGTGACCCTATGTACAACAGCCCTAAACCCTGCTCTATCCTGTGCCAATCCTATTGTCTCAGACACACCTAACCCCATTACCCCAGTCACTGAATCAATCCATTTCATCAAGGGTCTTCCTCTCCTAAGCTGCCCCTCCATTCTCCCAAGCATGGCATCCCTCTCCAAGGACTGGTCCCTCCTTGCAACATGTCCAAAGTATGTCAGACAAAGCATCAGAATCCTTGCCTCCAAGGAGCAGCCTGGTTTAACCCTCTTTAGGATGAACCTGTTTGTTCTCCTAGTAGTCCATGGTATATTCAATACTCTTCTCCAACACCACAGCTGAAAGAAATCAATTCTCCTTCTATCATTCCTAGTCATTGTCCAGCTTGCTAATGCATAGCAAGTAATTGCAAAGAGTATGGCCTGGAATGAGGAGTGGCATCCCCTTCCTCAATAAAATGCCTCTGGAAACTCTATGAACTTTGATAAATGTCAATGGTTGTAGAGGGGCTTCAGGCTTTTTCTTCATAGAGTCACCATGAGTCACGCTTGACTCAAAGACAATCAACAACAACAACAACATGGACTGGATCAGGTGCATCTTAGTCTCCAGACTGACATCCTTGCTCCTCAGTACTTTGGAGTGGTCTCTGACAGCAGACTTTTCTAATGCTATTTGTCTTTTCATTTCCTGGCTTCTGGCACCAAGAGTATTGATTGTGGAGCCAAGCAAACCGAAGCTGTTTACAATCTCAATCATTTTACCATGTATCATTATGCTGCCAATAGGCCCAGTGGTGAGAATCTTTGTTTTCTTGATATTGAGCTTCAATCCATGTTGAAGACTGCAGTCCTAGACCCTCTGCAGCAAGCGCTTTAGGTCCTCCTCAGTTTCAGCAAGTAGGGTTGTACAAGTCTAGCAGATATGACAACTGAGGCTCAGCCCTCAAGTATGAAAACACAAAGGAGGAAGAACAGTTGTAAGGAGACATTAGGGATTGGAACGTGGAATGTGAGAACCATGAATGTAGGAAAATTAGACATTGTTAAGAAAGAAATAGAAAACATATATATATATATATATATATATATATATTACCATACAAGGTATTGGCAAGCAGGTTTTTAGAGGCAATTAATTGCTTGGGAGGAAAATGCCCATTCTTTTCCCACAGAGCAGCTGGTGGCTTGACACCACGTACCTATGGGATTGCAGTACAGCTTCTTGCCACTAGGCCAGCAGAGCTCTACTACTGTTGTTGGTTTCAAGTGCCATCTAGTTGATTATGACTCATAGTAAACTTGTGAACAAAAAAGCAAAACCTTGCCCTATCCTGTGCCATCATCACAATCTCTGTCATACTCAAGTCCATTGTGTGAATCAATCTCACTGAGAATCTTCCTTTCTCTCACTGACCCTCTACCTTTCCCGGCATATCTTTTTCCAAAACTAGCCCTCATGACAATATGACTAAAATTTGTGAGATAAAATTTCATCATCATTGTCTTCAAGGAGCACCCTGGGTGCACTTCATCCAAGATTGCTGTTGTTAGGTGTTGTCAAGGTGAGTACAATTCATAGCGACCCTATGAACAAAAGATCTGAATCCTGTTCTGTCTGGCACACTTTCTGACACACAAGAGCCCATTGCAGCAGTCACCATGTCAATCCACCCAGTTGAAGGTCTTCCTCTCCTTTGCCGAACTTCCACCCTTCCCAGCATCACTCCTTCTCCAAGGAAGAGCAACATGCCCAAGTATGAGAGATGAAGCCTCATCATTCTTGCCTCCAAAGAGCACTCTGGCTGCACCCTCTCCAAGATAGACTTGTTTATTCTTTTGGCAGTCCAACACCACACTTCAAAGGCAACATTCTTTTTCGATCTTTGCTGCTCATGGTTCAACTTTCAGATGCATATGAAGTAACTTAAAATATCTTAACTCGCATCAGGCATATTTCAGTCTGTAAACTGACATCATTGCTCTTTAGCACTTTGACTTTGGAAAGGTCATTGAGAGCAGATTTACCCAATGTAACACATCCTTTAATTTCCTCACTGCTACTATCATCATAACACAAGTTATTAAATAGACACAAAACAATGAGATATTCTCTCACCTCAGTGACAACAGCAAAGCTCAATAAGACATGTTGTTGTTATGTGCCGTCGAGTCGTTTCCGACTCATAGCGACCCTATGCACAACAGCTCTAAACCCTGCTCTATCCTGCG